CTTCGACTAAAATGGCTATCGACGGATCCAAGGCTGGGCAACGATCCTTGTTATGTAACTACGGAACACTAAAACAGCATAAAAAGGACATATTTTTACACATAGCTGATGGTACAATAGGCGTGTCATCAACTTCTATAGCTTCTATAGCTTTGACACGACAGGCGTGTCATGAAATATTTGTTCGCAGCCACAGATAGAAGTTTTCGATTTTGATACTTCTTCTCGTTACATATTTCTCATAATAAGTTTGTACAACCAATGCGTGTAGCCAGTGACATGATCTAAAACAGGGCTTTTTATTGCTGCCCGGATGAGAAAGCTAAAGGTCGCTCAGTAAGCCATGAAGGGAGCAATGCTCGGAGTTCCTCTGCGGGATATAATTCGAAGCAAAGAGATTCGGACTAACAGAACGCATCCGAAAGCTGAATTGGAAATGGCATGCCCATATAGCATAAAGAAACAACAATCGATTTAGAAGATAATACTCAAATACTCGTAGTTGCCTTGTACGAGTAAGGAAGTGCAAATGTAAGGCCACTCGTTGGGTTGACGACCTGGTAAGACAGAATGCCTGGTTACCGGTAAAATTGTCAGTTACAGTTACAAAACAAAATACAGCCGCCATTTAACGATTAAATTCTTTATGGACTATTTTCTGGCTGACTTATTCATATCAGCCATAAACCAGCAAAGGTTGCAGCATCCGAAAAGGCTTTAGTACCATAGACCACATACACACCCTTCGGAAAATCGTACAGAAGACAGAGGAGTATAATCTGCCACTTTGCCTTGCGTATGTGGACTATGAGAAAGCCTTTGATTCCGTCGAAATTTGGGCGGTGCTGCAATCCCTTCAGCGGTGCCTAGTTGACTTTCGGTATATCGAAGTGCTGAAGTGTTTGTACAGTAGAGCTACGATGGCTATCTGAGTACAGAATCAGAGTACAAAACCTATCCAACTGAAGAGAGGTGTAGGAGAGGGTGACGTTATAACCCCGAAACTCTTCACCGCTGCATTGGAAGACGTTTTCAATCTACTGGACTGGAATGGATGCTGTATTAACATCAATGGCGAGTACGTCACTCACCTTCGATTTGCCGACGATATAGTGCTTATGACAGAATCGCTGGAGGACCTAAGCACTATGCTCAATGACCTCAAGAGTGTCTCCCAACGGATAGGTCTTAAGATGAACATGGACAAAACAAAAATCATGTTTAACGTCCATGTCACACCTATGGCGGTAGTTGTTGGGAGCACTAAGCTCGAAGTTATTGACGAGTATGTTTACCTGGGACAAATAGTCCGTCTAGGTAAGTCCAACTTCGACCGAGAGGTCAATCGACGGATTCAACTCGGTTGGGCAGCGTTCGGGAAACTTCGACACATCTTCTCGTTAGACATACCTCAAAACCTAAAAACGAAATTGTACAACCAGTGCGTGTTGCCAGTGATGACTTACGAATCTCAGACGTGATCCTTCACTGCTGGCCATATGAGGAAGCTCAAGGTCGTTCAGCGAGCAATGGAGAGGGCTATGCTCGGGGTTTATCTGCGTGATAAACTTAGAAATGAGGATATCCGCAATAGAACCAGAGTAACCGACGTAGTTAAACGGATTAATTAGCTGAAATGGCAGTGGGCCGGCTATATAGCTCGAAGAACCGACAACCGATGGGGAAGAAAGGTTCTCGAGTGGCAGCTTCGTACCGGTAGGCGAAGTGTAGGGCGACCCCCCACTAGATGGAGTTACGACCTGGTAAAACATGCAGGAAGTCGATGGATGCAGGTGGCTCAAGACCGTGCTTTGTAGCATTCCTTGGGGGAGGCCTATGTTCAGCAGTGGACTTATGAAAGGCTGTAATGATGATGATAAACCAGCTACATCGCGGTTCTGCCATATAACGTTGTTTATACGTGACGATATTTGTGATAATTAACAGAAGTCGTATCTCTGAATCCGATAGTCTACAATTTGTAAATTAGCACGAACGTTGGCTTCAGCTTGGTCTTGAACCAGGCTGATTTAACGTCGTGCCTCAGTACTCAGATACTCTGACTTGCAAGCCGTAGGAATAGAAAAAGTATAAATTTATTGAATGCCCATACCCAAGCATTATAGTAAGTAAAAAAGTTACGACAAAAATGTCACTATTGTTTGGCTATTCTATTGGATTAGGCAAAATTTGGAACTTTATAAAACTAAGCAGAAATCTAAATCACAATTGCATGCATTTATTATGCTTTTGGTAATTTCTTAAACAATACTCAAGAAATTTAGATATTTTTCAAAGTAAGTTGCTCTCTGCTAATAAATGTCTGAACCACAAACTTATCAATTACCGCGTAGCCCTGAGTCCCCAATAATTTGTAGTGTTGGTTAGTGATTTTTGATTCTATTTATCTTTTTAAGTACTACTTCAGCAGATAAACAACTTTTTTGACTTGACTTTTTGTAGTCAAACATATTAATGTATAATTCTGCGTATTACGATGACCGCGCTGAATAAGTTAGAGTTGCTTGATTATTCATATTTAGCGGGCGTTATAAGCAGTCAAAAAGATTCAGATATCATTTACCAAAGGTCATCTATTTTATGTTAGGTTTTGGATGTCTTTTATCTTTTTTCGATATTATATCATGAAAAATGTTCAACACGGCTACTTATCACTCACTAAACATCAATATACCATTCACATTCCATAGATAGAAAAAGATTTTTGATACATAATTTAGGTCTTAGATTAATAATATGTCATCGCGCGCTCTGATGGATTATTAATCTAAGATGTAGGCTTAAAGTAACAAGGCGCCATGTTCAAGCGTTTGGCTGACAGTGACAACTTTGGGTAGCAAGCAGAGATACATCGATATAATATAACTATATATATATTAGTTTCAGAGATCTCTAAAACTCTAAAACCCGATTAATTTCAAATTTAGTATAATTACTCATTTCAACGATTATTTAGACATTTTTAAATGGCAATGATCTGAACGCTTCGTTGGATTTTGACTTGCTTGACGGCATTCGACGCAGTTTTTAAGTACAAAAAACTGTGTCTGATGTCTGGAGTTGATTAATCAAATATTTTGAAACATATTTAGAAAAAACTAAAAAAAACAATTCTTTTGGTTTTTATTTTTTGATAATCTTTGAAAGTTCTCGACAGAATGACTTGAAAATCTAATCAGCTCGAAGTCTCAATGAACACTTTCGAACGCCGTTTTTCAACTGTTTTTCTGTTCACCAGCTAAGTGAATTTAACGAACAAACTCAATACATTCTGAAGTTTTATTACAAAAAAAGGGAAAAATGTTAAAACTTTTGTGTACTTAATGCAATGTAAGAGTAGCACAAAGTTGGTTCAAGCGGTTACAGTCCGGGAATTTTGATGTTAAAGATGCAGATCGCTCTGGTCGCCCTCATACGGATAAAGTCGATGCTGTTATTGATAAAGTGGAGCAACATCGACGTATTAGTAATTACGACTTAGCCAAGTAATTAAGGATTGACCACAAAACAGTTTTGACTCATTTGAAAAAGTTTGGCTATACAAAAAAGCTCGATATTTGGGTACCACACGAGCTCGCTGAAAGAAACCTAATGAATCGTGTAATCATTTGTGATTCTCTATACAAACGTAATGAAACCGAACCATTTTTGAAAAGATTAATCACTGGTGATGAAAAATATATTATCTACGACATGAACGTTCGTAAAAGATTGTCATCAAAGCTTAGACCCTGATTGAATGGTCTAGGGGTTTAAGGGTAGTCAAGTTCCACAGACTGTAGTGACCCCGGATAAACACGCAATTACGAGTAGGTGATGCTGTGTGTACGGTGGGATTGGAAAGACATCGTTTATTATGAGCTTTTACAGCCAGAAAAAACCATCGATTCAGATCTCTACTGCAAAAAACTAATAAGACTCAAGCAAGAAATTGAGAAAAAACGGACGGAATTGATCAACAGGAAAGGAGTAGTTCTTGATCGTGATAACGCCAGACCACACACATATTTGGCCATCCAGCAAACATTGAGCGACCTTGTTTGGGAAGTGTTAATGCATCCACCATATAGTCCTGACCTTGCACGCTCAGATTTTTACTTGTTTCGGTCTCTTCAGAATTCTTTGAGTAGTGTTAGGTTAACATCAAGAGAGGACTGTCAAAACTATTTGTCGCATTATTTTTTCTATAGCGAAGGGATTAAATCACTACCTACAAGATGCCAACAAGTTATCGAACAAAATGGCACATATGTATTATAATTAAATGTAATTAAAGTTTGAAAAAAATGTCTTTAATTTGTATATACAAAACGAAGAAACTTTTTCCCCGACCTATTATTATCGTGCGCCCAGCGTTGCGAGTGGGTATCAGCTAGTTAATGATATAAGAATATAAGGAATACTCTACAAATACTCCTAGAGACTGGTGCTTTCGATTATATCACAACTCAAATGCTAATGCAGACGCTAAGGCAAACGAATATAAATAGCAGCATAATGCTCATAAGTATCGTAAAATAAACTTGAGACCTTTTTACTGGTAATGAGACATCTCAGAACTCAGAGGTGACAATGAATCCATTCTTAGAGGCGATTCTGACTGGTTGGAGCTCGTCTGTTACCCTCACTTCTTTAAAAAGATACGTAGTTTCATTATGTGATTCCAGGTAAATTTGCATAAACAATAACATTTAACTATCGTGAACTTGCAGTCCGCTTGATTGTTGGTGACACTGCGTCATACTGTGGCGTACCTCGGAAAGAGACAATGACATCGTCTAAACATAAATTTCATTGATATTTAGTTGTAAAATTAACACCAGGTTAACTATTAAAATGTGTTTTTTTACAAGATAAGCTGAACTGAAATTAGTCACCTAATGTATAATTGATATTAAAGGCACACCACGTCATATAAACACCACTGTTTTTGTGTTTGTCCTTTATCTATAATAATGCTTATATTTTTTGTGTTCTAGATACTAAAGGAACAACAGTTGTTGGAGCTTCGTACCTTAGGAGTAGACAATCTGACGCTTGCAATATCCACTGCGAAGCAAGAGCTGCGTTCTCTGCCTTCAGTTATTTTAACACAAACCAAGCAAGTAAGAGATAGTAAGTAATTTAAATTGAAAGGAAACTTCTTCATTATTTATAACTGCGTAAGTCTAAATATTGCTTAGTTACGTTACTTCATTAAACGTTAAAGACTACTGCTGAACTAAAAGCTACTTCAGATGATCAGATATTCAGCCATAATTACCACACTTACTTTGCTACTTTGAGAAAATAGTATCATCCTCAAGTAACATAAACATCAACAGACTATATAATTTCTTTAAGGCCTGATACTTTTTGAGAAGGTTTCTCCTTTTATCGATGTCCGCGGGATTTATTTGACATTTTCTTTCTTACATGCTAAAGCCTAATCCTGAACCACCTGCATTCAACTACTTCCTTCATACCTAAGGCAGTTATTCTCGATGAAATAAAGATTGCTCGATCCTTCCCGGACTGAAAACGCTTCAGAAATTGTTTGGTCTTCCCGGAACGTTGGTGTTTCACGTCAGCTATGTGTTCTTTCACGCGGGTTTTGATAGATCTAGACCTATATATGAGATACCACATTCACAATCAAGCTTGTACACTACTGCAACTTGTAGAGGAATATTGCACTTGACGGATGGTAAGAACTGACTAATCTTCTTCGGTGGCTTGAAGAATGTTATAGAAGCTTGCTCCAAGATGTAGCCAATCTTGTCTCTGACACATCTGACATATGATAGTACAGCAGGCACGCGCTCGACTGTGGCCGGTTTCACTCGGTCACTGTGACGTAGGCAGGGGACATGAAGCTTGTTGTGGTGCAGAACTTGCTTGACGTGCTGAAGCTCGGCGGCCAGTTGTTTGCTGTCACAGATCCCTCGCGCTCTCTGTATCAAAGTTTTGCCCACAGTAGCTAACTGTCAAGGATGATGGTGGGATTCACCGTTTAAGTATCGGTTCGTATGGGTCTTTTTTCTATACACTATGTGACCTATGGTGTTGTTGGGATTTCGAATGACTAACACATCTAGGAAAGCTAAAGAATTATTTGCCTCTAACTCCGTAGTAAATAAAGAATACATGTATTGATTTTTAAAGAATGTTTTCTTTTAAATAAAATGGCTTTGTAAACCACCATCTATTCCATTCAATTGGTTAAGTCATTTTATCGAACGAAAATTGATCGATTCTCACGGTGATACGTAAGGAAGACGCTAGATGGCATAAATATGGCAAATATAAACCAGTAATGTCGAAAGATTGTTTTGAATGGACTGAAATATGTTAATTTTTTGAATTTAATTTTATTTATTTAACAAATTTGTTAATTTTTTTAACTGTCTATTTCAACAGTTAAAATATATATTAACCATCTTTATTATACAGTATATTATCTATGGCCCGGAGTGAGGAAGGCAAAGTATATTTAGTAAAATAACACAAAAAATAACAAACTCGGCACATTTAGTTCTCCTCTTCGAGGAGTTCCAGTAGCACTCATCAAAGTAAACTTTCAAGTCACTCTGTCAAGTCCGGAGGTAAGGCTTATTCATAACTAACAAATCGAGACCAAACTAGCCACATCTAGTTCCCCTCGTCGATGAGTTCCAGTGGCAGTCATCAAAATACACTTTCAAGTCACGCTTTCAAGCCCGAAGGTAAGGTCTCATCATAACTAACAAAACGAGGTCAAACTCGACACATCTAGTTTTCCTCGTCGAGGAGTTGTAGTAGCAGATACCGACACACCTTCAGGTCTGTAAAGTACAAGACGTGTAATTAATTTTTTTGTATATAAATCCTCCGTGCTCTTAGTGAAACAAAATATTGTACTAAAAATCTGTGATTATAAAAATAATCTAATCTAAAATATCTTACCTTGGTCAAGTATGTATCTGATTTTTGGAATATTTTGTATTTCTACCGCGATCGATATTTTTCAGCACGAGCCGCTGTAACAGACGACCACTTACGACGGCATTTGAGGCCGGAGTATATAAAGTACTCTGTGGTAGTGGCTTGGAGTACGGCTTCGGCCTATTTAGTAAAATAAATTAATACAACACTGCTAAAACCACCGAAAATTTCGCCATTTTAGAGCCGAAAAAAATTATTATAACTAAACAAAACAAAATTAAACTGCCATTTACATTCAATGGCTTACCATATGATAGATGGAGAGTTTTGAAAATAGATTGAGGTGAACAATTGATATTTTCAAAAGTTATCGTGTTTACGCCGCCACGCGGACTTGATAAATCCACACCATAAACCACTAAAACCTTTTGATTTTATAGGATAGGGTGACAAACGAGCACACAGTCCACCTGATGGTAAGTGGTTGCTGTGACCCATAGACATCTACATCTATCCTCGTTTGCAAGTTAAAATGCAGATGCGTTGTCAGCTGTGAAGACTAAGATGGAATGCCTTTTTTCCAGTAAAAAGGGGCTCCAGTTCTCTGCACTCACCATACGAAACACAGCAGTATTAAGCTGCTATTTTACGCTCGTATTCTGTGAAAGCATGGTCCTTCCCCGGTCGAGCCGAACTATTCGTGCTACAACTATACAATTAATATAGCTGAAGCATGGCTCTGCCGCGTACAAAAATACCGCATACAATACCTGGGTTCTACCCATGATTGCAATTTTCGGTCTCATAACAAGCTCGTACTGCAAATTCCCTCTCACCGTACTCGTTTTCTCTCTCTTCGCTGTTACAGCTGTACGAATGGAGTTCGCTTCCTTTAGCAATAAAAAATCCCCTAACAATATGATTTTTATAATAAAAGTAAATGAACATACTTCGACTGACACGTAAATGTATATTTAAATATATAATAGGTATATATAAATACATAAAAATAAGTTAATAAGTATATTAAATATATAATCTATTATATCTTTTATCATCATCATCATCATCATCATTACAGCCCTTCACAACTCCACTGCTCAACATAGGCCTCCCCGAAGGAATGCCACAAAGCACGGTCCTGAGCCACCTGCATCCCTCAACTTCCTGCATATCTTACCAGGTCGTCACTCCATTTAGTGGGGAGACGCCCAACACTTCGCCTGCCACTCGAGAACCTTTCTTCCTCATCGTTTGTCGGTTCTTCGAGCTATATGGCCGGCCCACTGCCACTTCATCTTACTAATCCGTTGGGTTATGTCGGTCACTCTGGTTCTACTGCGGATATCCTCATTTCTGAGTTTATTCTCATTTATATATATTTAAATAAGTATGATCTACACGTGTTAGAAATTCTTAATTAAACAATTAAAGCATTTCCCTAAAATATAATTTATACATAAAACATCAACATCAAAGAGAATAGTACGCTATAATAGAATAGAATAGTCCTTGATCATAAGAAGTTTGAGTTTGATTAATTGATTTAACTAAGTCACGGCCATTGTGACAAGGAACGATAATTTAATCCATCTATCATTAGCATTATCGTCAATATCAAGAGGAGGAATATTCAACAATTGAGCTATTATAAAATATGATACAAAGCCATGCCATATCTTATATGTATTAAATTGTATGGATATCGCTTGAGAAGTATATGCCCAAAAGGAGATGATGGTCATATCCAAGTCACTACTTTTATATATTTTTTACAGGATAAGAGTGACAAGCGAGCACATAGTCCACCTGATAGTAAGTGGTTGCTGTGGCCCATAGACATCTACATCTATCCTTGATTAAGAATCAAAATGCAGATGCGTTGTCTCCCGTGAGGACTAAGATGGAATGCCTCGTTTCCAGTAAATAGGGTCTCCGATTCTCCACACTCACCATACTAAATAGAGTAACGTTTAAGCTGCTACTTTACACTGGTATTCTGTGAGATCGTGGTCCTTCGCCGGTCGAGCCCGACCATTCGTGCTACAACTATACCAGTAATATAGCTGCAGCATGGCTCTACCACGTTCGAAGTAATATTGAGATAGTATTGTTTTGCGTTCGTAATAGTGAAACCATGTTTCGGCCATTATTTTTTTTTTCGAGCCAAATCTATCAGAGTCTTATTGCAATAGTTCTTACAAAGCTTCGGGAAATATTTAGTCTGATAAGTTACTGCGCATCGGAAAATATTGTGGATACCTGACGCGCTGATACTCTTTCGATCTTAGCGTTCATGTGAACGTTAAGCGCACTATCTGTCGATTTTTTTTCTTTAGCAATAAAATGTATGTACACACGACGAACTGCTTAAACAATTTTGTCTACTTTTAACTACGTCTTTGGTCACTACCGTCGTAGGGCATTTATTATTAGCGAGTGATCTTTTTGGTGGTTTTAAATCCTATTGCGTATTTATTTTCTTTTAACGAAGGATATAAATGTAGGCTCCAGGATTTCCTAGTTGGATTACTCTATACATTTCTATCTTTTTGAACGTGAAATTCTACTAACGCTTGCTAGTGGTAAGTAGATTTGACGTTGATTAGAGTTTCATTTGAGCCACAACTGGAATAAATATTTTTGACTGGCGAGAATTGATTTGCCGGAAAAAATCTGAATGAATTTTTTATACATGGGTTACGCGATGTTTTTGTTATTAATTACTTATTATGATCAGACCTATAAACAATTACTTTACTGGTCTGGTACTGGTAATGTTGTATCAATTATTTTAACAAAATTTTATTGTGTTAAATTTAAAATTTCATGTAACAACGAAGTAAATAGAAGTATGATGTTCTACTAAACGACGGATTTGATTTCTAATCCCTTATATAAAACGAAATATTTTTTTAAAGCACTGCCAAATGCATGCTTTTGTCCGACAGTCCATATTGAAATCAAACATTCAATAAGTCGAGCTAAACCCCACAGTGCGAGCCTCTGAGCGAAACACAACCCTTTGTGTGACTCCCGTTTTTGGAAGCTATTCGACCTATTGCACAAAAGCAGTTTCTGTGTAAATTCTTCATGTAGTTTTTTCATTATCAAAATGTATTAGCAAAATGTAACTTCTGATAAACATGCTTTTAACATGTAGATATATGTAAGTAAAATTATACATTATTTAATTTTTTGTTGATATCTATTTTAACTATGAAGAGTTAATTTTAAATATGAAGTATCATTAAGACTTAAAGAACTATTTTAAGTGTTTTTATTTTAGCGCAATTTCTACAATTAGAAAACCACGAATTCATCGCATGAGAGCCAAAAAATATTTTTTCACAAATTCAAGCGAATTTTAAAAGTCATCAAAATTTCTTTAACGAACACATCGTTGAAGCAACTGGTTTCTAGGCTGCGTAGTTGAGTTAGATACTTACGAGAAAAAATGTATTCAAAAGCAAAATTCTGCAGTAGAACCAGAGTAACCGACTTATCCCAACGGATCAAGCTGGTGTGGCAATGGGCCGGCTATAAAGCTCGAAGAACCGAACAAGAAAGGTTTGCGAGCGGCAGCCTCGTACCGGTAAAAGATGTGTAGGGCAGTCCCCCAACAGAGGAAGTGACGACTGGTAAGAGCTGCAGGAAGTCGATGGATTCAAGGAAGCCTATATACAGCAATGGACTAATGAAAGTCTCTAAGGAATGAATGAATAAAAAAAATATGGTTTTATTGTATGTCTGATGTATTGTAGTTGTCGATGTGCTTTCAATCTGATCGCTTTGCTTATGTTAGGTTACGGATAAATTGAGCTATGCGTGCACGTATTCGTCGTTGACAAATTGTAAATAAGAAGTAAACGTATTTTATGAGCTACGATTTAAAGACCAAACATAGAAACCAATAAATTTTTTCACAAATCTTTTTTTTCCAGATATTCTCCGAGACATTGAAAATCGCAGAGACAAAGTTCACAGCTCGGCTAGAATCCTAAGTGACATCGTACGCTACCTAACGGCCGGCTTGCATTCTTTAGCCAGGGAGCTGGAGACGGGCCTCGACAGAATAGAAAAATACGAATTTTGGAGGTGGACATTTATGTTAGGTATATTCTTAATTAGCAATACACATAAACGTGCGTAGTTAGTCCTCATCCTCATCAGCTCCAAGCGGTCCATCTGGGCCACCAATAACTATGCTTGGGGAGCAGATTCGTGATTGCAGTAATAATAATAATAATTTCCTTTAGACTGAATTTCGGTAACGGCGGCCTGCCTCGAAGGTGACAAGCCATCTGCGCATGACGGGAATACACTGCACGAGTGTGTGCATTAGCACTAGTGGACTCTCTACTCCCTCACTCCTACAGTACAATGACAGTTATAAATAGGCAAATCTAAATCAATACAGTTTGGTCTTCTAAGTCACAAGATTAATTATTGATTATAATAATTTATAGCAACTATGTTGGCTTACACAGTTGTTATTATAGTAATTACTGAAACATGGTCAAAACAAAAAGAGGAAGGGCGCATTCCTGTGGTATCCAGGTAAAAGCATATGTCATATATGCATATGTCGTCCGCGGATGGTAAAATTAGCCCGTTACTTGGCGGGCTAGGCTGTTAATTAGACGCCTACATTCAGTTGGACACCTATTTGCATTCGAAGGGGTGCTACTTTTGTCTGGAATCGCTTTCGTCCTTTACTTAAGATAATAAGATGTTTTTTGAGATTTGCCTAATATGTATTAAATTGACGATTTCTGACTGCCATTGATGAGCCAAAAACTGACCATGGCTCTTGGATTTGATCAGCACAGAGGGTATTACATATATCCGAGTTAATTATAAAAAATAATTAAATAACCACTTCTTCATCTCTTATCAATTTATTACACTTAAAAAGGTGGAATGTCTCGTTGGTCTAGTGGTTGTAAGCGTATTTGCTGATCATGTGGCACCGGGTTCGAAATTCGGATCGGACAAAAAACAGTTATTGAGTTTTTTTGTTAAAAAGTCCTCAGTGGTAGTCCTTACTCAGGAGGTTGGCGGTGTTTCAACCCTGTGCTTCGAGAAGTGGAAGTGAGGGAATGGAATATATCTGTGTGTGCGTGCGTATACATTCATGCACTGTTATAATATTGTACTGCGGAAATGGCTTTGAGTCCGTTGAGACTGACCGCCATGACCGAAATTCGCAGAGAATAAATTATTTTAGATGTTTCATAATGAATTATCATCTGTAACATTGGTGTGTTATGCCTGAACACAAAAGTACAAGGATAAGAACGCCGGGAAAGTTATGGATTTAAGTGCCAACTGATTTAAATATTAAAAGTACTTGGTTAAAAATGGCAAGAAGCTTAATAGGTCCTTACATTGATGTTTTAATATTCCTGAACTCGTCAGAACAAAAATAGGGATTGCATGCAAATAAATTGCGACCATCAATGTACTTATCCTTAGTAAATTAATACTTTTTTCTTCTACGAATTCGTCTTCCTCGATGCCATTTCAATAAAATACTGACTAAAAGTCTGCAATAATGATGATTACTTGAAAAATTTCGAAATAATAAAGCACATTAGCTTGTTTACTATCGAAGTAACGTCACGTCGAAATGTTATATGACGGATTTTGTACATTTGAGGCACAGATAAAAAAATATTCTTAAAATATTTTTCATCATTTTTCAATTTATATGGCATATATATATATATATATATATATATATATATATATATATATATATATATATATATATATATATATATATATATATATATATATATATACCAGCTAGCCAGGCAGGCATTTTTCTTCCCTCTCCGACGACCCTGTATCCTATAAAAATTCTTAAATACGTAATAAAAAATATTGAGGTTCACTTATAGGGATAAAAACTATTCTATCTCTTAAGTTGGACCAAACTGCACACAGTGTGCAAAATTTCATTGCAATCAGTTTAGTAGTTTAGGAGTTCATCGCGGACAAACAATGTGACACGTAATTTTTATATATAAAGATAATATTTAATATAATATTTAATATTGTATACGTATTTGTGTACCTTTGTATTAATATATTTATATTATATTATACATTTGTATGGTTTATCTATACTCTATATATTATTAGTTTATATTTCCCGCACTACCTCCGATATGTTCATCTCTGCTTAGCGAAATGGTTAACTGGGAGAAAATGCCTTAAGGCAGGGGTCGGCAACCCGCGGCTCGCGAGCCACATGCGGCTCTTTGGATGTGAAGCTACGGCTCTTTAGTTTCAAACGCAAATATTATTTATTTTATAAAAAAAATTAAAAATCGATCCACACTGAGCCATTTGGAGTTGATATTGGATCTCTAGAAATGCAATCGATCGATTTAAAAAGTAAAGCTTTGTGGAGCTGAAAATTTACAGAGTTGAAACTGGTAACATTCATTGCTATGCAGACGACAGCACTGGTGATTCCTTACATACCAGCCGTGGCAATATTTCTCGGGAAAACGTCGCCCAGTACCGGGACAAACTTGTGTCTGAAGTCGATTCTTTGCTGAACAAAGTCTTGGATTGGGGGCGACTAAATCTAGTCCAGTTCAATCCCCAGAAGACACAAGTTTGCGCGTTTACCACTAAAAAGAACCCCTTTGTCGTATCTCCTCAGTTTCAAGGCACTTCCTTTGCTGCCTCTGCTAGCATTGGAATCCTTGGCGTCAACATATCGAATAGTGAGCAGTTTCGTGGTCACTTAGAAGGGCAGGCCAAATTGGCCTCTAAAAAGCTTGGCGTGCTCAGCAGAGCGAGACAGTATTTCATGCCGGCACATCGCTTGCAACTTTACAAAGCGCAAGTTCGGCCTCACATGGAATACTGTTCTCATCTCTGGGTCGGAGCACCCCAGTGTCAGCTCCTTCCACTTGAACGCATCCAGCGCAAAGTGGTTCGAATCGTCGACAACCGAGTTCTTTCTGATTGGCTCAATACACTGGCACTGCGTAGGGATGTTGCATCCCTTTGCATTTTCTATCGAATTTACCACGTGGAGTGCTCTGAAGAATTGTTCGGATTAATTTCAGCAGCCAAATTTCACGAACGCACATCGCGTCATAATTCACGATACCATCCTCACCATCTGGATGCTTGGCGGTCCACGACTGTGAGTTTTACTAGGAGTTTTTTTCCTCGTACAACTTCTCTGTGGAATTGTTTTCCACCGGCGATTTTTCCGGACCGATACGACTTAGGGACCTTCAAGAAAAGAGCTTACACCTTTCTAAAAGGCCGGCAACGCATCTGCAATTCCCCTCGTGTTGCGGTTTTCATGGGCGGCGGTAGTCACTTACTATCAGGTGAGCCGTATGCTCATTTGTCCCCACTTCTATAAAAAAAGCAACTTGAAAGAGTTGGAGGTCCAGAAATGTATGTACGTAACGCAAAAAAATGAAACGCTTTAAAAGAAATGCCACGAGTTGAGGCACTTATATTCGACGCATGGAAGAGATTGCTACAGTGAGGTGAAGATGTTGGCATTTGGAGTGCTGACTATCTTCGGATCGACATATTCGTGCAAGCAAGCGTTCTCTTGCATGAATATATTAAAAGTAAATTAAGAAGCCAACAAACAAATGAAAATTCAAAAGAGTCATGTTTGAAACTTAAAACAACAAGTTATGAACCAAATTTATCCAAACTTTCTAAAACCATGCAAAGTCAACGCTCCCATTGAATTTGTTTGCTTAAATGTATGTTATTGTATTATTTATTTTTAAGTAAAAGTTACATTGTTTAGTAAAGTTTAAATTTTCTACTCGCATAACCATACAAAGCCAAAGCTCCCATTGAATTTGTTTGATCAATTGTTGTATCAAATTGAAGTACAAGTTAGTGTTGTAAGACTTACAATGTAAATAAACATTTAATTCTTTTAATGTTTTAGTTAAATACTAAGTGATTATCTAATAATACCATACATACATACATACATATAAAAGTAAAGTTGCAGCCTATTTACATCCCACTGCTGGGCACAGGCCTCCTCTCATTTCTGAGAGGGTTTTAGGACAAGGAAATATCCGCCACGCTGCCCCAATGCGTGTTGGCGAACTTCACATCATGTGTTCGAAATATTTTTTTTTTCTTATTTTTGACATGCAGGTTTTCTCACGAAGTTTTCTTCACCGCCGAGCACGTGGTAAATCAGCACTTAAAATTGCAATTAACAATTTCATTGGTGCCGGTGGGGATTGAACCCGGGTTGCTCGAGTACTGTGAAGCTTACAGCGAGCGCTAACCATCTGAGCTACCACGGCTCTTTCTTCTACATACATACACACACACATACATATATATATATATATATATATAATCTAATAATTACATAATAATTGAAATTACATTCAAATTTATTGTGAAAAACACTATTTATATATGAATAAATATATATTTAGGTTGGCAAGAAAAAAATTTGTGATTCTTTAAATACTTTGAAATTTTGTAAATTGTAATTTTTGACTCTTACTACTCAAAAGGTTGCCGACCCCTGCCTTAAGGCATAAAATCCGCCATAATATGTACTATTTTTGTTCATAAATGTTTAAATAAATAAGTAATAAAAGTGGTTTCTAATACTACATACCATTTTTTCATTTGCATCAATAGCGATTCAATATGTTTTAATTAAATAAAAGATTATCTTTTTAACCTTGATTCAATTATTATTTTAATAATTGAAACATCTCACCTTGACGTATATAACCTTCCGCTATTGGAAGATGTAAAGTTTTCTTGTTATTTTGATATCAATTTTAATGGCTTTATTTTGTTTAAAAACATACTTAACCTATTTAGTTCCTTGTTAGTTAATAATTATCTTATAATTTAGTAATAAATTAAAATATAAATAAAATACTCAAAGTACTTAGTACGTACTTACGCCACTGTTAATTATATAATGAATATTATGTAAATTTCTACTGGACACATTTTTCTAGATTAGAAGAGCTAATGTAATTGGCCCTTCCTGTTCAAATTAACTAATATCAAAACTGACCATTGATTATAACTACTATCTATAACTCTTTTACAAAAGAAAAACAGGCACCTAAGCAAAGAACCATTTTATTGTTACTGTTAGATTGTTTGCTCATTTTATTTAGTCCTGTACTCAGAATTTTGTAAATAAATTAGGAAGGAAGAGTTATCATAACATTTTGATTAAATTAATGAGAAATAATGTTAAAATTCAGAGCGCTTGTAGTGTACCTGTTCGCTAATTTAACATGAAACACGTTTTATGTTTGTTTTTTCTGTAATAAAGTAAAAGCAGACAAAATTTTAATATAGAGTGTGACCCTCTCTTACTAAAATCACAGCTTACATTTATTTGGGCATGCTAGCAAGTATATCTCTTATGGTTTCTTACGAAATACTTTCCCACTCCGCGATAACCACATTTTTAGCACTCTGTTGGTCTGTGGAGCCAGCTGCACTGATCTCACTCGTCGCTTCAGAACGTCTAAGATATGGTATATGGGATTTAGGTTGGGAATTCGAGCTGGCCAACTCAATCGACGAATTCCAACTACGGTCGGAATTCATATATATACACATATAACATATACGCTTTCATTTCGCCGAACCGGTGGGCGCGGATGTTGTTATCCATAAAAATAGAGTTTTCGCCAATAGCGACCAATGCAGGTTGTGTAAAAGGAATCAGAACTTCCGTTATGTATCGGTGTCCAGGCAGTGTGCCGTCTTCGATGAAGGTTCACTCCGTACGATCCAACGAATTTATTTTCTGCCCAAAACATAACATAGCCCCCACCATAACGTGTCATTTCTTCAAAACGTGCCTCTGCAAAGTATTCTCCTCGTCTTTGTAACACTCGCCGAAGTCGGTTTTCACTGTACAGAGATATCCTGGCTTCATCGGAGAACAACACCCTATTCCAGTCTTCTTGAGCCCATAATACACAATTTCGAGCGAAGCTAAGCCTAGCAACTCGGTGCTCACAGAGTAATTTAGGGACGCGGACAGATCGATGACTGCATTTATTGACAGTGAGAAGCCTTCTCCAAACCGTAAATAGACTAATTTGCACTTTTCTTACTTCTTCCAGGTTGTTTTTGAGGTCCACATATGAAGAATTGTAATTTCCCTGCGCTTGACTCACCTAAAAATGATCATCCCGTGGTATTGCTTTCTTCCAGAACCAGGTCTTCTCTTGATGAAACTGGTCTCTTGATTGGCCTGCCAGGTCCTTTGGACTGTCAAAAGACTCACATGTAGCCTCTGAGCTAGGAAACATCAGTTGCAACCCTCCTCAAGCAGCGCAATCATTTTGCTGGCTTTTCATAATGATTTCTTATATTTACGCGAACACTTTACATGGAATAAAACTACTTTTACGGGTTCTATCGCGTTTAATTAACTTCTTTTATTGATTCCCGACGTTTCAGGTAGTTTACAGCACACATTGAAATAAAAAAAACACTTTCTTATTTCGATAGAGACTATAGGTACTACCACCTGCTTGGGATCCTATAATTAATAAAAATAAAATTAAGCCCAAGCATACCACTGCAAGACTTCAAGACACAGTAAGTGCATTCTGCGTAGATCGGACCAAAATTAATAATTAAAAAGCTGAAGGTACTCCGGGTTAACTCTTACATCGGGACATCAATCACCTCGGTCCCCCGTGACCATGGGTGCTGTAAAGTACCCGAAACGTCGGGAATCAATAAAAAAACAAGTTAATTAAACGCGATAGAATGCGTAAAGGTGATTTTATTCAATTTGCTGGCTTTTATCACTTTATCTGCCATTTTCGAGACCGCTAAACAGCTATAACAATAATTTAAAATGTCAATAAATTAATATAATTTAATCAGAATGGACTAAAAGTTATTTAGAGTCGATATTAATTTTCTGAAGCTTGCGCCACAAAATGTAGTAAAAAGTTGTTTTTTTTTAGGAACCCTAATATGTAAGAAACGTACTTTTTTAAAAGCGACGGCACTTTTATAACCAGCCAGTAACATGTTCAAATTATTAAATGCGTTTTTGTGTTGTACCTTTCAGGCAGGAAAAAATCAAAACCAATCAGACCTACAACTTTAAATAACTTTTATCAGAAATTTGCATTCCATGTTACTAATATTTTGTAATATTTAAAAAATTACAAAAGTTTTTTGAGCTTTGATTAAATAAGTGAACATACATTTACATAACAAACTGTATGGTATGGCTAACTGTTTACAAAGTTATTTTTCAATATACGCCTAAAGAAGAAAAGTTTCAAGATAAGTAACATAGGCGACTGGTGAAGAAAAAAATTTTTTTTTATCCTTTCTATTTTTTAAATTCAGAATTAGTTAAAATAATGCATTACCGCGTGGTGATTGTCATCCATAAATTTTACTACACACACACATTCGTAAGGATCGCTCAGTCGGCGAAAACGTGAATTGAATCGTACACAGAGGAGCGTAGTTGTTGCCCATAAATCACAATTAACTTGGAATAATTTCAAATAAAAGTAGAAGCCTTATTTACTCGTATTTTTAAAAACTGCAATAACTATTTATATCTTTGAACTTAAGTTTAAAATTTAGCAACTCTTTCAAAAATAACCATGTATAGAAAACTCCATCATTACTCTGTACAGTTGCAAAATTTACTAAATTAAATATTGTTTTAAATTAACTAACGAGTATATTTGCTTTTGCTCTTAAATTCATTTTTCCGTTTGTACGGTGTCTGATTATATTATTTACTTTTTTTACAGCATGCACAATAGCTTTTTCTTTTGGGATGACACTCATACTAATTGCCATGCTATGTGGATGCGGCAAATCCAAAAGTAACGCTAAGAGGACTCTTCAAGTGTAAGTACTTACCCACATTTAATAAATGCTTTGACTATGTAGTGTCATGGCTTCATAAAATGTCTATTACTTATAACAGTTTTTCAATGGATCTAGACTTTTATTTGTGTCATTTTTATTTCTATAATTTTTTTTATGTTGAAAACTCAAACAGGGATAATTAAATACAATTTTATTTACATGATGTTTATGATATAAATCATTATTTGTAAAATAAATTATAAATATAATATGTTTATGCCCGTTCACTAGATTCATAATACAACAGATGCCCAATCAGTACCTTGAAAATGTGTGAAGTGGTTTGGTTGTGGTTGCTGCAGCTATATTATGGTTGCTGCAAGTGGATCGGCTCGACCAGAGAAGGCCCACGCTCTCAAAGAATACCAGCGTGAAATAGCAGCTTAATGCCGCCGTGTTTCGTATGGCGACTGTGGAACACTGGATACCCTTTGTAATGGAAACGATATATTCCATCTTTGTCCTCAGGGGTGACAACGTATCTTCATTTTGATTCTTAATCGAAGATACATGTCTACGGGACACAGCATCCACTTTACATCAGGTGGGCTGTATGCTCCTTTGTCTTCTTTTTTCTCTAAAAAAACTTGGGCTTAGTTATTTTTGTTTCTTTGATTAAATTATAAGTATGCACTACTGTATAACGTAGCCTATACTTTACAACCCTTTGACATTATATGGAACTATGCAACTCAATTCCAGTCTCTAGTCTGTATAAAATATGTAAGTCGTACGTAAATTTGAATATTTAAAGGACATTAAAGTTGAACAATGACATTTCGCGTAAAAGAACTTCTTTTTTGAATAATCACTTTCATTAATTATTGTTAAAAATAAATATAACATTATTATTTGCTCATATAACTTACAGAACAAAACTAAATTCCATACATCCCTCCATTACAGTTTATTTAAATCCGCTGATGAGATAGGCCTCTGTAATAGACAGCTTCATAGGGGTGATTTTGCCATAATTGCCACGCTTAGCGTGTAATTTGGTAACCGCAGTTTTTTTATTATTTTGAGTTTTCATCAGTAAGATGTTGCTGCCTATCTTCTGTTTCGGTTTGCCTTTTACGACACCCGCGGAACAATATGTTGTAGTAGATATTCTTACACCGCCACTACACGGTTAAGGGGTCAGCAGCCTCGAGGTTATACAGCTGACCAAGTTGGTCAAGCCCGTCCGTCAGCGGCGCTGTTCGTATGTAATTACAAATGTAATAATACAAAATGACTTTATAAACATTACGTTTACATAAAATCGGTTGTTTTCCGATGGGGAAAGGTTCTTGAATACTTGGCGATCTCGTAGATGGGGTAGGACCTGATGAAACACGCAGGCAGTCGATGGATGCAAGTAGCTTAGACCATACTTTGAGGCAATCTATGGAGTCCATGTTCATAAGCGGACTTGTGATGAGCCCATATCCCAGCAGTAGCAACGTAAAGTATAAATTTAGATAAAATTAGTTTTACGGATGTTATTGCGTATTATTTTGTATTCCCGACGTGCGTAGATCGGAACAAAAATTAATAATTTTTAATCTGGAGGTAGTCGTGTTTAACTATGACATTGGGACGTCAAACATCTCAGTTCCCCCCGTGACCATGGGTGCTGGAAAGTACTCGAAACGTCGGGAATTTAAAGTAAAATAAATTAATATACGCGATAAAATCCGTAAAACTAGTTTTAAGCTTTATTTAAATGTGTAGTGTTCGCGTAAATATAAGAAATCATTATAAAGTATAGAATTCACTCATTCTTATGATTTGTTATGCAATAGGAGAGCTTAGAATAAATATCTTGCCAGAAATACTCATCCATTTTCCAGTATACTTACAGGTCTGCAGTTTGGTTATGCTTCGCTTCCCTGCTTTTATGGGCCGTGGTTTCCGCAGTCTTTCTTATCGCGGGCCACGCCGAGGTATATTTTTTACTTATTTATTTTATCGTTTTGTTTCATAGAGATTATATTAGTTAAAAGGTGGTGTTTAACGTGCTGATATATATATATATATATATATATATATATATATATATATATATATATATATATATATATATTTCAAACCCGGGTCGGGTGAAAATCAGTTATTAGGTTTTACTTCAAAAAATTCTCAGCAGTCAGGATGATGACAATGTTTCACCCCCGTGCCTCAGAAAGTACATAAAGCCGATAGTCTCGCACCTGATCTACGGTAGTTTCCGATTGCCGTCCCATCGGATCATTTTTACTACCTATAAATTAGCCCTATGCCTGTCTACCGTTGAGACTGACTGCCGTGAACGAAATTCGGTCTGGAAAACATTATTATATCAAATTGAACTGGCTGTGTTAATTCGTAATTTTTGAGGTGTCTCAAGAAGAGTGGTCAGAGAAATTCGACTCCGGTAACGAGATATTTTTGAAGTAGCTTAAACGTATGTATAAAAGATTACGCGTACTGAAAATAAATGGAATTCTTTGAAAATATCAATGTCAGTATAAAGAGTCTTTTTTATTATTATTATTTAGTTTTTGGGGATATGATCCTCGTATTGTTGATTATTTTTTAAATCTATATTTTTGAAAATAATTAAAAAGAGAAATTAAATACTAAAACATAAAAGATACTACCAAAACCAACTTATTTTTTATAGGATAGGGTGACAAACGAGCACACAGTCCACTTGATGGTAAGTGGTTGCTGTGACTCATAGATATCTACATTTATCCTCAATAAAGTATCAAAATACAGATGCGTCGTCACCCGTGAGGACTAAGACAGCAGTGTCAAGCTGCCATTTTACGCTGGTATTCTGTGAGAGCGTTGTCCTTCCCCGGTCTAGCCGACCCATTCGTGCTACAAATATACTACTAATAAAGCTGCAGCATGGCTCTACCACGTATAATCAACTCTACAATTATGTTTCTTAATAATATCAATAATAGTAGGGGAGCCCAAGAGGGGATATTTTGGATGTGGGTTAATTACGTGCTTCAAAGCGTGCATTTAAAAAAATCTGAACATTTGAGCATAACGTAAGGGAATGGGAGGGTTATAAGTTTTGACATTCTCGTGCGTGGTTGATTTTTTTTTATTTTGAAGGAAATAATGCACATATAATAAAAACAACATAATCTGCCGATTTCCAGAAGCCAAAATACTAAAAATCGTCTATAAAGGTGAGACCATGCAGCTGGAATAAAGCGTTTATACCCCACTACGCGTCTCTCTCCCTTTTACCTTTTCCCTATCTCTGACTCTCTCGTACCCATTTACAGCCACATTTTATAAGATAAGATAAAATGATTTATTTGTTAAAATATGGTACATTAAAGTTGTTACAAAATAATTCAGATCCTAAATATTCTGCAGTTTCCTGCGTACAAATATTTTCAGACAAATTATTATTATGTTAGAATATAATAGAAAACCAAGACATTTATTATTATAGAATATAAATATACTTACATCTATACTTAAGGAAACTAAATAGCACCTATTTAAAAACAAATATGTCAATTAATTAATTCATAATATTTTTTGGTTAAAACATATCAATAAATTAAGTCGAGATTAATTTCAATAATTACAATTCAAGTCAAATTTATTATTTAAGAAGTAATTTATAGAGTAATAACATTTATTTAAAAGAACTTGAAATCATTTACTTTTAAAGGTTCCTTATATTCATTTCCTATATTCATTTTTTTAAACAAACAGGCAATTTATTGTAAACATGTATTGCCATACAATATACATTTTTTGAATATCTGAAGGGCCAACAGTTTCTGCTTACGTTTGGGATTTCTTTGAATTCGCGCCTTCACAGCTTTTATCACTGCTGGAGTCCTAACAGACCGAGGGCGACCACTTCTTGACCTGTCATCTACACTAGAGTCTTCATTGTATCGTTTGATGGTACGATAACCGAATCTTTTGGTTATATTCAAATTTTTCAGTATGTCAAAAATTTGAATTGGCGTGTAACCGCAACGATGCAACGCAATAACTGCAACACCGTCTTCTTTAAGCGTCTACTCCATATTTAAAAATGAGTAAAATTCTAAAAAGTATACAGTTTTATTTTCATGAACAATTCGAAATTCGAATTCAATAAACTTTTTTGTGGCCAGCATTCTAAAAGAAAAGTTTTTACTGTGTGACAATACTTATGACCTGATTAGGTACAACGTCGTTTTGTTTTTCAAATAAATTACCATTTTTGTGAACAAAGACACAAATTTCGTAAATGTATAATGCTGGAAGCGGCAATATTTTGTGTTTGCTAAAAAGAGAAATACAATTATCTAATTGGTGTGCTCCGCATAAAGACCTTACACATTTTTTCTGCCCGCGGAAAGCTCTAATTAAACAGAACTACCCCAAATTATTAAGCCGTAAGGTAGGATCGAAGAAACATATCCATGATAGGCAGAAAGTGTGGCCTCTGTGTTAGCCACTCGTCTTAAACTATATAGAACAAAGACAAATTTATCTAACTTTATGTAGAAAGTTATCAATATGTGTCTTCCAATTACAGAACTTGTCTATTGTGTTATGATTATTCAGAAAAAAGTTCATGAAAAATCCCTTAAAATAATCGTCAAATTTTAAGCAACCATAACTAGGACCTTAAGCTGAACCTTCTGTATAATAATCGGACACGCTCGAGTATTTCAATATGGCCATTTTCAAAAATTCGCTACGAGCTTGCGTCACTTCCGATCGTCATTATTTTGAATGGGAGCATTTTTAGGGTTAACTTAATATCTCCTTTGAATACCTGACGCGCTGGAATAAATTTTTGCACATCTGTAGCAGTTTATAGTAGTTATTAATTTCTGAAAATCTGTAGACGGTCCCACCACCACTGGAAGGGGAAACATTATACAACTTTTTTTTTCCTCCTATCAACTAAGTAATTTACAACATCTAATAGGTCCCCACGACGCTCGAGTAAGTCCCCATTTAGCATCATGTGCTTTCCTTCTATTGTAGTTATCATACGTTAGTATCTACACGATGATATCTACATACTTCATTAGGCTTTATTATTTTAAATTCAATTATTTAAAAACTTATGTGTTCTGTTGGCATATCATTATCATAATTAAATGGACAAACCAAAAAAAAATACGTGACGCAAATGAGAATGTTACCTAAAATCTATAACTTAAACATTTTAAAAATCCCGACACAAAAACAGCTGATGATCTTTAAAAAGTTTAGCAGATTTTCTTGAGATATAGCTAAGAACACTCTTGATTAAGACACCTTTCAAACGAACAAAAAACTTAATCAGAATCGGTTCATTCGTGCAGGAGCTATGATGCCATAGACAGATACACAGATACACAGGTACATACTACAAACATAACTCCCTGTTTTCGCCGGGATTTAAAGATACACGCTACAAAATTATAGCACCACTCTGCTTTCGTCGGAAGTTTAAAATAAAAAAAAATATCCTTAAAAAGAGACAGATTTACATTCTTATTTCAAAAATAGGCAACTACTATTACTTTAAGAACGTTTATTAACACGTAAACTGTTCTCTACTAAACATGGATAATGTCGCAAGCAATTTTTCTTTTTACAAGAGTGACACAATCCATCTTATGGAAAGTGGATGCAGTGACCCATAGACACTTACATCCATCCTCGATTGAGAACGTCAACGCGAATGTGCTGTCAACATCGAGGACTAAGGTGGAATACCGTTATAACAGTGTCCGATTCTCGTCAATCATACGAAACACAGCAGAATTATGTTCCCGTTTTATGATTGTATTATATGAACATGATGAAGCTGTTTATTTTACTTGAATTAACAACAGATTTCAAATTAAACATAAAAATTATATCCGCAAGAACTACAATATAGAATTTGCTATTCTATTACATTTAGGCGCTGACAGCAAATTCTCATATTTTTAAAATTATACAATTTTAACTTTCATTAATAGCAATTTAGATTAGTATCTGGTGTATCATGTAATATAAAAATAAGCTTCCTGTCTACTATGGTTATCTTTATTTTTCTACACTCTTGGACAATTTTAGAGAGACTTCAAAAAAATGCGTATAAAACAAAATAGCGTATAAATACAATTAATTTATTTGGAGTTCGATTATTATTTGTTATTTAAATTTAAAATTGCAGACGTTGTAAAAACCAAACGATCAAATGACAAAAAATAACCAAATTAAGAAAGAAGGAAACATTTTATAAGAAAGAAACATTTTGTACTTAATATTTTATAATTTTTTTTCTATCTATAATCAGTACTTAGTGTTACCTTTAGCTCTTCGAACTACTTCCATTCTCCTTGGCATACTCCTAATCAATTTTTAATAACATCTTGAGATATTGCTTTCCATTCCTTCTGTAATGCGTTTTTAAACTCAATTTAGGGATCCGGGGGCAGGATTATTTTCCTTTTTTTTTATAGGTTGATGATTTAGAGTGACAAACGAGCACACAGTCCACCTGATGGTAAGTGGTTGCTGTGGCCCATAGACATCTATATTTATCCTCGTTTGCGAATCAAAATGCAGATGCGTTGTCACCCGTGAGGAATAAGATGGAATGCCTCTTTTCCAGTAAAAAGGGTCTCCGGTTCTCTACACTCACCATACGAAACACAGCAGCATTAAGCTGCTATTTTACGCTGGTATTCTGTGAGAGCGTGGTGCTTCCCCGGTCGAGCCGATCCATTCGTGGTACAACTATACTACTAATATAGCTGCAGCATGGCTCTACCACGTAAAATTTTTTTATTATGTATATATATTTTTCCTTAATTTATCTTCCAAGCTTATCCCATGCATTTCGTATAATATACAGAATGTTCGGAAGGTCGTTGCAAAACTTAAAAAGGGGGACAAGTCATCTCGTGGAACACTTTTTTGACCAGGTTACCTTATGGTATTTAATCATTCATAACGATTAAAGCGGCTACAATCATACATAAAACCCTGTTTTTATCTTAGCTTAATGTGTATTCAATAGACAAACACCAATGCAATGCAAATATACATTAGAACATAATCGTTGTTGCGTCTGTTAGTGATCGTATAACTTCTGAACGATTTGACCCACTGAGGTCCTCCTCACAATACATTTGTTTGGTCGTGACAGAGTTCACAGATATGTTAGGATCCGATAGTTGGCGCTGTAGTCAAGTTAATCTATACAAATAAATAAAATTGGAGTGTCTGTTTATAACGTCAAAATAACAGGTTTTCACTAAATGCAAATGAAAGTATATATTATGGTACTTATAACAAAAACACAATTGTTAATTCTTTTGTCTGTCTGTCTAACAAACAGACAGACAGACCTGTCTGTTTGTTCCAGCTAATTTCGGAAACGGCTGCACCGATTTTGATCGGACTTTCACTGGCAGACAGCTGATGTTATAAGGAGTAACTTAAGCCACTTTTATTTTAGAAAAATAATTAGGGTTTCGCGCAAAAAAATAAAAACCTAAATTACACGCGGGTGAAGTTGCGGGGAACAGCTAGTAACAAATATATGTATTGACTACAATGATTCAAATCTCACAATATACATGTCAGTTTAGTGCAAAAAATCACAAAATTTGAACCTGATAGATGGTTCTGCGTTAATTTTATTCGCAAATTTTATATTATAATTTAATCCGTAAAAAGTCCGTAAATGAAGTCGGAGTGAAACTCATCGCGCCACCTAAAAAGCAAAACAACGTCTGCCAGCTGAACTAATAGAAATTAATTGAATACACCTCATATTTAAAACACAAAAGCTGCACCGAATGTTTTCTGCAATTTGATATTTATTTTCTCCGTACAGGTATACGTATGTCACGCACTGTGGGACACTTCGCAATATAAAACTCTCTCAAAGCTTTTAGACCGACCGTCGCCATTGTTGCAAAACCGCGAAGGAATTTTTGATGCACTATTTAGAGACCTAGAAAATGTTACTATAGATGTTTCTATGAGGGATGTCTTAAGGTTGGTTACATTTCTAAATCTATTATTTATTACAATAAGTTAATATATTATTTATTTTATTTTTATATTTATTTTATTATTTTAACAATAAGCATTATGCTATTTTACAATAACCTAAATACTTAAGGAATGAACAAAGTGACTACTATGTTTAATACTACAACATAAATTCTCAATTCACTAATACTCTATGGAAGCTTCGTGTTTATGATGTTAATAGTGTATATCGGAATTCGTCGGTGCATTTGGGATCAACCAGGATAACGTCCCAGTACTCGGTCTGCATTAGACCGCCACACTGCTCCAATGGGTGTTGGCGGACTTCTCATGACTTTATAAAATATCTTTTTTCCTCAGACATGCAGACTTCCTGTTTTTTACAACATCAAACTCGTGTTTAATCAGCACTTAAAATTGCAATTAACGATTTTATTGGTGGCGACGGGAATCGAACCCAGGTCGCTCACGTAATGTAAAAAACGCAAGCTCCTGACCTGCCACGACGCTTGTATTAGCCAATTAATTGTAATGACCATTAAATATTAATTTTGTAGGTAAATTAATAACAATTTTTATACCAAAAAAAGAGTTTTACTCTAATAAATTAGGTTACCTGAAAATAAGTAAAACTCAAATACTTTTTTGTTCAATGATGAATTTTCACTTAAATAGTTTATCTGAAAGGAAATGAAAATGCTTACCTGCTCATGTTTTATATTTTCAGAGACTGTGAGAGAAATCGACCAGCGTACGTCGTTTTTCAACTCGACAGAATCTTGGATGTTAACAAAGAGACATCTTACTTCGAATGGGAGGAGCTGCAAGCGGATCTGGGACGATTGTCATCATCTGTCGACGTCAGCTTCCTTAGATCTATATCTATCCCATTTAACAGAATACTTAATGAAATTCTAATAAAATCCAACGTGAATCTGCCTCTCTACAGGTCAATGTATATTACATTTATATTACAATTTATATACAGGTTGATTTATATTATTAGATATATTAAAATATATTTTTTATTTAAAATTGAAGTATATATGTATATATATATATATGTATATATATATATATATATATATATATATATATATATATATATATATATATATATATATTATGAATATGTTTTATTTAGTATGTGTTTATTTAGTTATTTTAGTTTCTCTTGTTTTCTTTTTTTTTCTTTTCGTTGCTGCACCCACGACAAACTCTCACCACTCCGTGGGTTTACTGGTAGAGAATGCCTTTAGGCATTAAGTCCGCCCTTTGTATCCTTTTTTCTAAGGGAATGCAATAAAGATTTTAAAATAAAAAAGTGACTAGTAAGCTAACAGTATACCTGATGTTTGGTGGCTACAGCATTCCATAGACACCTACAACGAACTTTAAATATAGAAGGCTATACAGATGCGATGCCATCACTTGAGCAAAGATAAAATGCCGTAATTTTTTTACTAAATTTATATTATTTACACAATTTGAATAGATTTTTAGGTATTGTCAAACAAATGTGTATTTTTTTGGATTTATAATTTCTAATTTCGAATGGTATACTTACGATTACCTTCTATGCTGACAAAGCGCTTTATAATATGTTAAATACGTCTATGTTTCGCCGTGTATTGCCGTCTGATCACTCCTAAATACGGATTGGCGTGTAAGGATTTGTTTATGTTTTATGCTTACCTCATATAAAATAAATTCATACAGACATACATAAACTCTCACGTCTATCACTCAGAGGGTTAGGTAGAGTTCCATTTGGCACGATCTGGACTCACCTCTCTCGCTTCATATCCATAAATGGTCGTCGATTGGGGTTTCTTGTTGGTTCTCCCCAGGACAGAGGTATTTTAATTAAAAAGTGACTTTTAATAAGTATTATATGAAAATAAATTTGAATAAAAATATTGTAATCTTGAACAATATTGCACAAATGCCAGTACCTACTGTATTACGTTTAAACGGGATGGCATCCCGTATACATACAGTAGGTACTACATGTACCAACGAACACATAGATAGAGGGTGGGGAAGGCGTAGTTTGGATCGTTATTGCGCAAGAAATAAAGCGAGTACAACTTCTTGTACTACTTTTATTTTATTCTGTGGTAACCTAATAAAATAATACACTTTTACTAAGTCAAAACGTATGAAATTTGATACACAGTGTTAATATTTGCGCAAGCTATATTTGCATCGTTTGTAAGGGCTTTGCCGCAAATTAAATAATGTTACTAGTTCCGCCTACTTGTATAAGGGTGATTAATACTTAAAAATACAGCTTTGCCAATAACATGTAATAAATCAGTGTTTTTTTTTTGTTTCATATTTTTAAATTTTGTGTCTTAGGATGGAGTACAACAACCCAATTGTTGGAAAGGACTTAGCAGCATTAGAAGATCAATTAGAGAATGTGGCAGCTCAAGTCTCGGATTTAAACACATCTGGAAGACTAGGGAGTTTAGGTATTACAATTTTATGCAATTGATTTAATTGCCTTTTGTTTAAAATAATTCATAGACTATAATTTATATAAATGCAATGATATTAAAACAAAGTTACAGTATTAAGCATTTTTGTATTTGATCTACCATCAAGCGTCAATCAAAATTATTACTATCTTTATATAATTTTTTATATATATATATATTCACTATCCCATAGGGATATATTCACTATCCCATAGGGGATGTCGTAAGAGGCGACAGAAAGAACTGAAACAAGAGCAGCAGCGGCATCTTCTGATATCAACTCAAAATTAAAAAAAAACAACGGTTGCTAACGCGCCGCGAATGCTCATTGAGGCAATCTATGGAGTAGGCCAATATGCAACAGTGGACTTTTGTAATGAATGAAATGGATCTTTAACTACTAGCGCCACGCATAATTCACACGGTAATAATTTTGACTAAACAGTCGATACAACTTGAATATTAATAAAGTTACGATTCCAAATTTTTACGTAGCAATTTCACCACTTGCTTTGTAATGTTCATAAATAAGTCCAGTCACGAAGTTTTCTTTCACACGTGACATGCCTTTACCCAGCAAAAAATGAAAAGAACCATACGCATAGATATTGGCATGAAATCTGAAGAATAGTCACTTTCTTATAACACGGATTACATGTTAAGTATATAATATATTTAAAGGAGATTCTGAACTTTTATTTATTTTAAATGATATTTTTAGACGAAAATATTTTAAATGATAAAAATGATATCCTTGTCGTTCTGGTCGCTTTGAATAAGGTGACATCTAACGAAAAATAAAGTTGGAAAAGCATCAGCTACCTCTAATAAGGTACGTAAGGGTAATATAACACAAAAACTAGGAAGAGAACAGAAACAAATACACATACTCGTTTACTATAACTAATATATTAAGAAAAAAAAATTGCAAACAAGCTTTAGCAATAATCAGAAATACTTCAAAAAAATGGACTTAAATAAAATCGACTAAAATATTTACAATAATGGCAACTGTGGCAAAAATGGCGTCGATAAAGCAGCGCTACCACAGCAGCTATAGTAACGTAGAACATCTATGCAAACAAGGCTGCAGTTTTTCAGTTATAAGAAAGTGACCATATTAACCGGATGATCATATTACCCTCACGTACTATAATGCTAAAAGTAATATAGATACACACATTCATCCTTATGTACCCGAGTCTGATGTAACACTTGATGACATCGAAGGGAGAAGATGAAATAACAGTACAACACAACACAACCAAATATCAGTACAACATATACTGTCATAACACAACCAAATCGAAGAAATCAAAAATTTATATTTTTGCATAAACTTTGACTCTAGCTAGTATGTGTGTCTGCAAAATAACTGGAAGTTCCTTTGAAAACTTGGGCCCGAAAAATAGAAAAATGCTCATGAAGTTGTATTAAAAAGAAAATATTTCTTTTTCAGCCAAGCGGACGGGGGGAGTATATATCACTTATATAAAACCATTGGAGCAATTAAGAGCAGACCTTGTATTTAAATTGACCGAACTAGAACTACAATTAATACCCTATAGAAGGAGATTGAATATCTCACTAAGCCATATTCACACAGCGCAGTATTATATCGACAACCAGGGAGATGTCATAGCACAGAAGGTAACCTTAATGAATTATTATATTTTTACGTGAACACTTCGAATTAAATCAAAGTAATTTTACGGCTTTTATCAGGTTCATTTTAAATTTTGATTCCCGATGTCTCAATTGACCCACGTCAAACAATCACGACAGGTGTTCAACTTCCTACATGATTAATTTTTAGCCCGATCTACGCAAATCTTTTTTTTTTCTATATTGTGTTTAAATGGTTTTGGTTAAATTTTTTATTATTTTATATCGTCTGCTAGTGCTTTGAAGTAATCATTTGCAAAGCACATAAAATGGCGGGATTTTAAAGTTTCAATTAATCGCGAAAAAATCCCTAAAATAAGCTTTATTCAAGATAACCTTAAATTCTAAATTTTGCACCTAAAGTAAGTTAGATACTGTGTTCCAGATAAAAAGTCATAAATCGTGCATGAGCGTACGAAGACTCCGCCCACACATGGCAATTAAGAGCTTTAACTGCTTGTTTTCAAGCCAACTCCAGTTTTACCATTTCTAAGCGAAATATTTTTAGACGTTGCGGTTTCACTGTGCGGGAATCGTTTTACGTTCACATATCACATTGTATAAAGTTCTGGTTTCCTCTTAGTCTGGGTTTGGGTGTTTTTCCATGTGAAATTTGTATATGTAATACGAATCGATCGCCCCGTAAAATAAAAAAAAGTTCTAGTTGTTACATTGTATCCTTCGCCCACTCAAAATGATAAAAAAAAATTACTTTTAATAAAAAGTTAAACCTACTTCAAATGCCTAAAATAAATAGAATAATTTTCAAGTAAAAGCTTCTGAAGTTGGGTTTAATTTTTTGACTATATATCTAAGCACCGAATTCAGAAGCTTTAATTTGTAAATTATATTTTCAACACATAAAGAACAAAGAAATATTTTAAAAATTAACATAAATTTTTTACTACTTGTACTAAACTATTTACATACGAAAATAAGAAAGTATTATAAGAAGGTGTCTTTTTGATTCAAACATAGCCTAGCCTAGCTGTTACTGTGTGTTCTCTACATTGTATATTGTACTTATATGAAGTTGTTTTTGCTATATAAAATCAAACTTTTAGTTTGATTTTTATTAATTTTGCTATATTTTCAACAAGAATCATAAAAGGTACTTATTAATAAACATTTTTTAAAGGTAATTAATACTTTTTACGTTACTTTATTTCATGGAGGTATAATCTCTCCTCGACTTGAGAATAATCAGAAAAAGCATTTCAAATAGCAAATCAACCTAAATATAATAGTAATTTGCATTCAATCGTAATCTACAAAAATACTTTCAGTATTAAATAGCTTAGAAGTTTCAATGCACAGATTTATTCCATAGTTTGTTAAGCAGAAGAGCACTACTAAATTTTGTTTTTGTATTGGTCTAGTGTGCATTTTATAGTTATTGTAATGTCAAGTACTTATTGAACTCATGGCCGCTGCTAATCAATAAAGACTGAAGCCATACATATCTAATTTACTAATTAATGAATAAATCGAAAACACCTAAGGTCAACCAACCGCAAACAGCTAGTTGTAGCTGCTTAAACCTAGGGTTTGGTATACATACTTTTATATAACATAGATAGTACTGCAATGACTAACGGAATAGCAACTAATGTTAGGATGCTGTTATTGTCGTGAAGATTTGTAAGCAATATTGAATGAAGAAGGTCACAGATCCCTTGTCGTTCCTGAGCACAAAGGCATTCTTACGCTATGAACCGTATCACAATAGTGGATACATTGCTGTTGATAGTAAAAATGTTTAAAAGGGTTCCGTCCATGAGTCACGGACCATGACGGGCACTTATAAAAGAAAAAAGTCCCAACCCAGAGACGTAGTAAGAGTAAATTTATCGACGATTCACTAATTCGCCCTTAACACTGTAATTTGCAATTTGAAACATTAAAACTTGGTATGATAAACGATGTCATGCGTAGTAACTTGGTGGTCTTTCTTTTACTTCAATAAATTAATAGTAAAAAAAAAAATATATTTAGAACCGTGTAGTGGCGGTGTAAGAATATATACTATCCCATACCATCCAGTGGGTGTCGTAAGAGGCGACAAAGGGGAAACAAATCAGGACAAGGGCAACACCGTCTTCGTAATAACGACTTAATTGATAAACTTTCCAAGCGTGGCAACTATGGCATATCCTATGCATATGCGCCAATCTGTGTGTAACGGTAACGGTAACGGTAACTAAGAACCCCATTTCACGTGCGTTTGTTGTTGTAAAATTAAACATACTCGTACGTTACGCTCAAACATTCCTACCCTCTATTACTGTTACAACGTTAAACGATTTAAGCTGCCGAAGCACGTGTTAACTGCTAGTGCTATTATGTAAATGTGGGCATCGATCGTAGCTAATTGCAAGTCCATTGTTATTTCACGTAGCTATTCCTTTCTTCGAACCCCATTGCTATGCACACCTTACTCTAAAGCTCATTATTTATCATACAGAAAGTGTCAGTGTACGTATCTCGGCTGATCTCCCACGCGGCGGGGTGGCGCTCTCACGTACTCACGTCCACCGGGAAACAAGCCGCACGATGTCAACCGCTATTTGCTGTGTACGCTGCGGTCAGAGCATTGCTCTGCAATAAGTATGTCGCTTCCCTGGTAAGATTTGTTTCTACCATACTGTATTTATTTGTAAATGAAATTTAAATAAGCTAGTAGGTAATTATTTATATTTATGATCTTTTAAATAGATAATAATATACATACCGTTAAACAAAGTGTAGAGCGACCCGCCGTTGATGAAGTGAAGAATTAGTAGGACATGCAGTTAGTCAAAAGGTGCAAGTGCCTTAGGACCATGCTCTTTGGCATTCCTTCTATGTTCTGCAGTAGACTTGTGAAGGGCTGTAATGATGATGATGATGATGATACTCCAGTATACTTCTTTTTATGATATTTTTAATTTGTTTCTGTTAACAGCATGGTTGGTGGGTTATCGGTGCAGTGTTAGGACTTCTATGGTGTATATTTTTAACTCCACTATGTGTCAAGCTATGGCGAACATACGACCGAAAGATTAATGATCAAGATTTAATGACAATGAATAACTTCAATACAGCGTAAGTATAACGTGTATATTAACGCTTCCACGACACAAAAACGTCCTAAAAAAAAAGTAAAAAAAATAAACAAATTCCACACTATCAGAAGCTTTTTGTGTATTTTATTAAAAAGGATAAACAAGTTAATAACTCTCAAATTACGTTATAAATCCATGTTTGCAGTTTGAATTCATTCGGGATCGAATCACTTATTGCTAATAAAGTGATTTTTTTTTATTTCAACTTTCAATTATGAAATATAAATACCTGATTTTTCCGAAGGAAATGTTTTATACGTTATTTTTATTAAACTAAGGTGACATACGAACTTACAGTGTACCTGATAATATTAAGTGGCATGGACACCTACAATCGACTTCAAACAAAGAAGACATTTATATATTTTAAGGACTAAGATGGAATGCCTCACATCCTGTAATGATACTCGCTTTCTATACCTTTCATACTGAAACTCAGCAATACAAGCACTGCTAATTGGAGGCAGAATAGGTGAGAGTTGGTACCTACCCTGACGAACTCCTAGGCCGAAGAGTATTACTACCACTAAGTCTGTTCGGTGAGAGTATGTAGATAAAATAAACCACTTTGTCGGCTCGCCAGCTTCGTACCACAAAACTCTGAGCTTGCGGCGATAAGCGACACCCGTCACACAGATTGCGATTCTTAAGCGACAGTCGCTATCGCGAAACGTTTTCATAATATTTAATTTATCAACTCTCGCCGAACAGACGTTAGCTAAACATTTAATATATTCAAATGATGTACATTTTATTTTTTTATTGGTGCTGGCGAAGATCGAACCCGTGTATTAAGTGTTGATTTACCACGTACTCGACAGTAAAGAAAAACATCGCGAGGAAACCTGCATGTCTGAGAAATAAGAAAAAAATATTGCGAAAACATGTGAAGTTCGCCAACACGCATTGGGGCAGCACGGTGCACATTTCCTTGGCCAAAAAACCTCTCAGAAATGAGAGGCCTGTGCCCAGCATTGGGTCGTACATAGACTGTAACTTTACTTTTACATTTTTAACGTATAATGTGTATAATTTATAACTTAGTAATTAAAGGGCATTCTATTTAATTTTCAGCCCTCCAGGAACTCCCGCAACGGAACCTTGTGAAAACGGCAACTGGAATACACCAGGGTTAGTTCATATAAGCTGTGACTTTATAGTGAAAAAAATATGGCTATATTTACCTTTTAGTTTACTAAAACCGTGCTTTAAGCCCTTCATTTTAAGGTTTTAAAGAATCAAATTTAAGTATAAAGTTTAATATACTTAGTCGACAAAATACAAGGTTCTCCTACCTTGTATTATATTTTCATAATAATAAACGTTTAGAAATAACATATACAGGGTTATTTTTCAAAGAGAGGCCAAAAAAACTTAATTTCGAATATATAAATAATTCCATTACTGCTTTTTTAGTTTCGACAGTCCTCTCTTGATGTTAACCTAACACTACCCAAAGAATTCTGAAGAGACCAAAACAGGTGAAAATCTGAGGTTGCAAGGTCAGGACTATAAGGTGGATGCATTAACGCTTCCCAACCAAGCTCTCTCAATTTTTGATGAGTGGCCAAAGATATGTGTGGTCCGGCATTATCATGATGAAAGATCGCTCATTTTCTGTTCATCAACAGATCAATTCCGGTCGTTTTTTCTCAATTTCTTGCTTGAGTCTAATTATTTGTTGACAGTAGAGATCCGAATTGATGGTTTTGCCCGGCAGTAAAAGTTCATAATAAACGATGCTCTTCCCATGCCACCATACACACAGCATCACCTTATTGCGTGTTAATCCGGGTTTCGATACAGCCTCTGGAACTTGACTATCCTTTGGCCATGATCTTTTTCGAACCTTCTTGTCGTAGGTGATACACTTTTTATCATTAGTGACCAATATTTTCAAAAATGGTTCGGTTTCATTACGTTTCAATAAAGAATCGCAAATGAGTACACGATACATTAGGTTTCTTTCAGTGAGCTCGTGATGTACCCAAATATCGAACTTTTTTGTATAGCCAGACTTTTTCAACCGGGGCAAAACTACTTTGTGGTCAATCCTCAATTCCTCGGCTATGTCGTAACTACTAATATGCTGATCTTGCTCCACTTTTTCAAAAATGGCATCGACTTTATGCATATGAAGGTGACCAGAGCGAGCTGCATTTTTTAGATCAAAATTGACGGACTGAAAACACTTGAACCAACTTTGTGCTACTTTTACTGACACTGCATTATGTCCATAAACGTTACAAAGTTTTTTCGCTGCTTGAGTCGCATTTTACGGTTTTTTGTAATAAAACCTCAGAATGTATCGAATTTCTTCGTTAGGTTTACTCATTTTGGACAGAAAAAAATGGAAAAATGGCGGGAAAGAGCTTTTTTACTTTTTTATTTTTATTTTTCTTTTTATTAATGTCACACAAATATGCCTGGAACAGTCTTAAGGAAGTAGTTAATATTAGTTTTATCGGAAAAATCAGAGCTGACAATTATCAAGAGTTGATTGAAACTATGCTTGAAAGATTTAAAATTATAGGCTGTAGAATGTCCTATAAATAACAAAATATGCTACATGTTCACACATGTTCACTACATGTTCATTTAAAGATAATATTAGTGTCTAATCAGAGGAGCGAGGAGAGTGTTTTCACCAAGATGTGATAGTCTTTGAACGACGTTACCAAGGGCAGTACAAAGAGGATATAATGGGTGTTTTCATTTGGTATTTAGTAAGAGAAAATCCATACCAACGTAAGAAAAACACTAAAGATATTAATTTTTGAACTCGATTTCTTATTATTTTACATGCTATTACTAATCAATATTCTTGAATTAAAAAGACTCAGATGTTCAACAAACATCTTTCTTATTGTAATTTATAATAAAATTATAAACAATCCCGCTGTGTGAGTGCTCCAAGCAGGAAGTGCTGTTTACACAGAGCTCGGTACGCAAAGCACTCCTCCCCTTGACGTGAACAAGTCGAGTGGGCCCGAGTGAGATTGAGTCCCACATATTGTGCTGAAGACGTGTACTCCGTAGTTGACACCGGTTGTAACGTGTCTTTTCCGGTACTTCTACTCCCTAGGCGTAGTTTCAAACTCATGGAGGACAGCTTTTGTGCACCCGATCCTTAAAAAAGGCGAACGCTCAGATCCGTCCAACTTCAGGCCTATCGCTATCACCTCCTTTTCCTCCAAAGTAATGGATACTATTATTAACTGTCAGCTCATGCGGTACTTTGAGGATTACCAACTGATTAGTGACCGCCAGTACGGTTTCCGTCGAGGTCACTCAGCTGGTGGTCTTCTAGGTTACCTAACTAATAGATGGGCAAAGGCAGTGTAGTCCAAGGGGGAGGCGTTGTCCGTTAGATTGGACGTCGGGCCTTCGATCGGGTTTGGCACAAAGCGCTTCTTACGAAGCTTCCTTCCTATGGGCTTCCCGAGAAATTGTGCAATTGGATCACCAGTTTTTTTGCAGGTCGGAGCATCAAGGTCGTATTAGACGGTGCATGTTCCGATTACAAGCCCATTAACGCTGGTGTTCCACAAGGCAGCGTGCTATCACCAACGCTATTTCTTCTGCATATCAATGATATGTTGCAATCTGCTAACATTCACTGCTATGTAGACGACACCAATGGTGATGCTTTATACACCGGCCGTGCCAATATTTCTCGGGAAAACGTCGCCGAGTACCGGAACAAACTTGTGTCTGAAATCGAGACTCTGTTAAGCAACGTCTCGAACTGGGGGCGAACCCCTTTGTCGTATTCCCTCAGTTTCAATGCTCTCCTCTTGGTGCCTCAGCCAGTATCGGAATTTTTGGTGTCGACATATCGAGTAATATGCAGTTTCGTGGTCACTTGGAAAAGAAGGCCAAATTGGCCTCTACAAAAACCTTGGTGTCCTCAGCAGAACGGGACAGTATTTCATGCCGGCACACCGCTTGCAACTTTACAAGACGCAGGTCGAACCCACGTAGAATACTGTTCCCATCTCGGGGCAGGGGATCCCAAATACCAGCTCCTTCCACTTGACCGCGTCCAGTGCAGAGCGATCCCATTCGTCGACGACCGAGTTCTTTCTGATCGGCTTGACTTACTGGCACTGCGTAGAGATGTTGCATCTCTTTGCGTATTTTATCGCATCTACCACGGTGAGTGCTCTGAGGAATTGTTAAGACATTAGTCTTAACAATTCCAGGTGCTCAATTTCACCAACTCACATCGTGACAAAACTCGCGATACCATCCATACCATCTGGATGACTGACGGTCCACCACTTTAGAACCGGATTTAGAAGAAGTTTTCTTACTTTCACAACTTCCATGTAGAATCGATTACCACCAGCGATTTTCCGGACCGATACGACTAAGGGACCTTCAAGAAAAGAGCCTACTCCTTTTTAAAAGGCCGGCAATGTGTTGCAGTTGTTCTTGGGCGGCGGTAGTCACTAAGCAACAGGTGAGCCGTATGCTCGTTTGCCCCCTCTCCTATAAAAAAAACAAGCAGTATTATTCTTAAAATTCGAAAAATTTCTGGTTTCAGGTTTCAAACTTTAATCAAAAATATAATTTTTCCTTTTATCAGTAACGTAGAAGAAACCAAAATTTGATATTCCACTTTTTTTGTTCCTCTAATAACATCGATTATATATATATGAACTTTCTCACCCACCTCAAGCCCATCGAAGTCAGCTCAGAGGAAATTATACATTTCGTGGAAAAAAAGGGCAATGAAAAATATGATGACGCTATAAATCATATTGTATATGATTTTTATATAACGACCAGCAATAATGCTGGTCGCTCAATAGACTGTATTGGAGATAATCCAAATACAAATGAGACCGCATATCGTTTAGTAGGTATGTGTAAAAGTGACTCGGAGTTATTAATTATAAAATATATTGTACAATTTAAATTGAAAAGCATGTTAAGATATGAGGTAAGGAATATTTGATATAATAATTAATTAAAAACAATGTCTTAGGAAACCAAAAAATAAAATTATTATTATTTTACAATAAATTCAAATTCAAAGGACATTGCTCTGCGCCCATACATTGTTCGCCCTGGAACCAAGAGCATCGGAAAATTATCTATTTTATTGTTGATCATTAGTAAATTCCTATTTGATCTTATTTTTATAGCGGACTAGCTGCATAATAGATATATTTCAAAAAAAGTATCAGATTTTGAGGTTATAATCGAACCATGAATATTACGGTTTTTCATAGATTCGAGTGATTTTTAACAAACTGAAAAACGATGTCCTAAAACATTTAGCTATTTCTAGTACCTATCTACATAATTAGGTATGCTATTTTTGTTCTAAAGCCTAAGTGTATGTAAGTGCAACGTATAAATACATAGAATGTAGTTAACAAACTTGCTTTCTGAGCATTGGTTTTGAAATGAGAGATAATGTTTGTGTGTATTAATATAAAAATAAAAATATATGTATATGGCTGTTAACATTTGGATGTTGTCATTAGCATATACGGTACGGTAAGATACCTAGTACCTAAATGTATAAGCATTTAGGCTGCCAGTCACGCCGCTAGACATGCCGTCGAACAGCGAGCGTATCAACCACGGTTACAACCAAGTTTCAACAGCGCGCGCATGAACAGCGTGAATATTTCTATAATATTGTAAATGCAAATGTACTAGATAGTAGTCTACTACTATCTAGTACATTTGCAAGCGTGTGCGTCTGGACGGCGCTGTTCAAACGCGTGACTATGAAACCCGCCCTACCGACTTAGTACCTAATTGGTAGTATAAGTTGTTTTTACACGTACATTAACTTATTATGTTTGAATTGGAAATAAAACACAGATTAATTTAATGTTTATTGTTCATTTTCTAAATTGGAAATAAGAATATTGTCTAAAAACTGTGCAGGGATGTCGATATTATTTTGATGTCTCGTAAAGCTCAAGTACCAAATAATGGTCATAACATGGGCGCAGCAACCGATGGTTCTGCGTACAACGATGCGATTACAGCAATATAGCACGATTGCTTCTCTGTTCATCTTTAAACAATATTGTACCACCAGCAGAGCCGCTATTTACACAAAATACACTTTCCATTGCGTATGCGTAAGTCCGTTTATGAATGCTAGGTTATCGTTTGAGCGGTACACAGTTCCGAAAACCACAGCAAGGTAAGTCGTTCTTGAAAGCAATCAGAGTCCGTTAAAACAGCCAAGTCGTAATGTTCAATATATAGTCCCGAAAGTCACCACAACACCGATAGAATTATGTACAAAGACAATTACAATTGCAAACGACGCCAACCAATGTAATTTTGACAGAATTAGAGATGACGGTACAAAGTAGGCATGTCCATTTGAAATCGTTTAATCGATTGTTTATAGTAACAGAATTGATTTTCCAGATCGATATAGATCTGAAGAATCCTTGTCCGATGTCGATACAGAAACCTCTCGAATCGGACTTATTCAAGAACTAGCTATATTTCAAACGATTCAAGAAATGCTTTTGCATAGTTGGAACATCTGTTCCTTGTGACAGACAGAAAAACTGTTGTTCTGGGTTCGATCCCAGGGTCGGGCAAATTATTATTGGGTTTTTATAACTTGAAGTTCCCAGTAGTAGCACGGAGTCTGGATTTGTGTCCGGTGTTTGGCAATACGCGCATTTCCTATTACATGGGATGTATATGTATAACATAACAGTACTTACACACCGCTACCTACTCCTTCTGGAAAATACTGGCGTAATGTTATGTTTATTAATTTAATGATTTTTCTATACAGTTACTTGTATTTACGGTAAGTTATCGTCAATAATGTCCTGTGTCTATATTAGGCATGTTTGAAAATGTCGCGATTGATCAAAAATAGATCTGTTAATGCTTGATTTAATCGAGAATCGATTCTAGTATGTTCGATTTGCATCGATTTTGAGATCATATTTTTTTCATGAGAGACTGACAAGTGACCATTTAATGACATCAAAAATAGGAGCGCCAAATACGATACGACTTATGAATATTTCCTAAGATTTATTATAGCCGTACGTTACAAACAGTATACCATCTATATAGTATATATCATCTTTTGTCATACGATAATATTAATACCATAACACTGTGCTATTTTACTTATAATAACACGTACGTCTCTACTTCTTCCATAATTGTAACAATATTAATAATAATATCTGTATCTATTCTGCAATATTGCACTTTTTAAAAAAACACATTTATAATTAATGCAGTAACGATAACTGTTTTTTTTTTAATTAATCATCTTAAACTCGTAAGTTATCGTTTAGTAAGACGTAAAATATACTCCTGTCTAAACGATCATTAGAAAATCCTGAATAATTATCTTTACGAATATTTTTCTTCAGTATTATTCTAACTACCTATTCAAAATCGAGTATGACATTCAATAGGTATAGTAGGTTTTTAAAATTATACTTGTAGGGAATAATATAAAAGAATATAAAGAAATGGTAATATGATATTTTTATTGTAGCTTCTTTTTGCAACTTTATTCGAAATAAATTAAAATGTAATTCAGATTAAAAAAAATATACAACAGTTCATTAAAAATGCAATAATCGATTACAATCGATTGGGCATCCCTAATCATTTTTCAACACCACAACATAATGTTTGGCGAAGATGGCGGCGATTAATGTTATTAGTCGAGTAGAATACTTTTTAATGTTCATTTTAGCTTGCAGCTAGTCCGTGTTATAAAAGTATTTGCAACTAACATAATAAAATAGAAAATTAATTATCGTGTATGTCCGATGCTTTTATTACACAGGGCGGTTTTGGACATTGTCCTTTATTTATTTGTTAATACAGGTATACAAAATAGATCTATGTAAAAATGATGTTGAAATAAACACGTCTCATATTTAATAGTTCATAAAATTTTAAAAATTAGTGAAAGGAACAACATGAAATATAAATATTAGCAAGACATAATATGATACGTAATCCTGTATCGATGCTTCATATTAGATGATTTATTCGACACGTGTGTTTATTTTTTTTACATAATTATCATCACCATTGCTATACCATGGGCAACAGCATCTTCCTGATAACAGCTCAAAATAATGAAAACACTGCGGTTGCCAACCCGCCTGCCAAGCGTGACAACTATGCTAAATATCCCTTATGATGCAATCAATAGGGGAGTCCTAAGCAACTTTGCTGTAATGATGACGATGATGAAATTAATATCAATTCACTTTATTCTTTTTAATTTTACAGGCCGCCACCACCACCACCACAAGACGACAGTTGGTGATCAGAAGTATTTAGCGCTTTCTGATATAAAACACATATAAGTACCAATAAACATGGGCCGAATTGCAACCATCGATTATTATTGCTTATAAGCACAAATATTTCGCGTTTTCTCTAAGCATTATTTCATCAAAAATACAAAGTATAATTAAAAACAGCCGTTTAGTGCCTTATACCAGTGAAAAGTGTTCAGTAAATATTTAAATAGCCCTCTCGGAATAAGTTATGTTAAGTTTGTGAGACAAGTATGATAACGTAATTAAATGTACCTTAGACACGTTTTTCGTTTTTTTTTCCCTTTATGTTTTACTATCCAATCTAAAATAAACACGAAAATAAATAAAAAATACTGACTTAAATTATTGATACTCGTAATATTATATTGGTTAGTGGATAAACCTTCAAGGCCCCTTGAGGCAGTTAGTGTGAGCCCGGTAAAGCTGTAAAAGCCTCCTGGCTAACTGTAAGTAGGAACAGCGCTGTGGATACTTTCCTATTTCATAAATCCCCCCCCCCCGCAAAAATGAAAGTCAAAGTCAAAATATTTTCGGACGTTAAGAAAGCTAGCCCATCGATTTAAAAAAATTCTTACTGCTGGAGACCTTTTACGTGGTAGAGCCACGCTGCAGCTATATTATGGTTGTAGCAGGAATGGGTCGACTTGACCGGGGTTGACCACGCTCTCACAGAATACCAGCTTAAAATAGCAGTTATTGCTACTGTGTTTCGTAAAGTGTTGAGAAACGGAGACACATTTTACTGGAAACGAGGCATTCCATCTTAGTCCTCAGGGGTGACAACGCATCTGCATTTTGATTCTTAATTGAGGATAAATGTAGATATCTATGGGCTTGGGCCACAGCAGCCACTTACCATCAGATGGACTATGTGCTCGTTTTTCCCATGCATGTGGGTTGTACGTAGGCTATTATTCTCACACTTTAAAATTAATTATTTGCATTCTTGTATTAATTATTATCCCATGTAGTGGCGACGTAAGAATATCCACTACCCCATATCGTCCCGTAAGAGGTGACTGAGGGAAAAACACCAGGAGTTGGGTAACAGCGTCTTTCTGGTAACAACTTAAAATTAATCAATCTATGGGGGAAGCCTATGTTCAGCAGTTGACTTTTATAGGCTGTAATGGATGGATGGATATTGTACTAATCGCACGTATCTTCTAGATCTACAAAAGTAGTAGTAACTGTTAGTAATTTATAATTATTTATTATATATTGAACCAAAACATTTACAGAAAAACATTAACCTATAGTATTTATAATGACAAAGACTTAATCCAAAGTAATTTTCTAATTAATAATATTGACACCCTTAATTTTAGCCATATGAGTTATTCAACTTCTTTTAAATTATTATTGACGTGATGAAACTACGCAAATATTACATAAGCGCTTATAGCTTGCTTATAAATACTCTAAGCATAAGCGCAATACGTTCTATGACAGCAGGGCAATGTGAAAACAGCCCCATGATGGCACACTACGCACAATGAGCTTTTTCCACAGAGTAAAAACCAAGGTTTACCAACAAAATAATTTATCTCTAAATTCCGTTTAAATACAGCTCATCGTAAACCAATTCTAAAAACAAAGCTCTTGCAAAGGCTTTTAGAAAGCATTAGCATTTTCTATTTTTTTATAGATTAATGGTGACAAATGAGCACACTGTGTGGACAGTGTGCTCATTTGTCACCATTAATCTATGCTGATGGTAAATGCATGTTGTGGCCCATAGATATCTACATCTATCCTCGATTAAGAATCAAAATATAGCTGTGTTATCATCCCCGAGGACTAAGATGGAATGCCTCGTTTTCAGTAAATAGGGTGTCCGGAATACTGGGTAATAGCGGTGTAGGAATAATCACTACCCCATATCGTTCCATGGGCGTCGTAAGAAGAGACAGAAGGAAACTGAAACGGGAGAGAGCATGCACTTATTGTGCTTACCACGATCTAATGCCAACTGCATACATCGACATACAGCATCTGTTTCTTACACTGCACTTTTGTCTACTACATCTAATAAAGTCCTGCCCCAAACTGCGCTTGCCAATACGACGCTGCCACTTGAGAACTGTTCTTCTCCATCGGTTGCCGATTCTTCGAGCTATGCGGTCGGCCCATCGTCTCTTCACTTTCAGCTTATTGATCCATTCAATTTACTCAAAAGTAAACAAGTTATATCATCATGATTACAGCCAGAGAGCACTGTCCTGAGCCACCTGCATCCATCGACTTAATATATATTTGACCAATTCGTCACTCCATCTAGCGGGGGGTTGCCCTACACTTAGCTTACCTCATCTCCTATAAAATAAAGTTATAGCTTATACATAAATATACCGCTGTAGGACACTGACTTTCTCTTACTTATGAGAGAATACATATTTTTTTTTAATTTATTTAAGGCAACAAACAGTCATGTATAAAGATAGTAACATGGATAAATATTAATATAAATAAAGACCTATAGTGCCTTTAACTAAACTTTTACAATATTTTAAACTTATTGAGCCACTTTTAGGACTAAAGGACATTATAAATTAATTAATTTATTAATACACTAAGTTCTTAGATAAGGTAACTAGTTAACATTTGGTGTCCAATTTAGGAAAATAGAGAAGAAAAACCTATGTTAAAAATCTGATTATTATAACACTGACAGATTCAATTCAGATTCAATTAGCGAATTGAGTGCTGCATAATTTTCAGTGATGGGTAACTAAATTATTCACAAGCCAAACATTGAAAAAGAGCGGATTTAAACTTTGATACTGATGTATTAAATAAATCAATATCTGTAATTTTTTTATTGTAGACGTTAGTGGAACGATACACAAATGAGTTACGTGTATAATTTTTATGATATCGTGGAGTTACGAAAAGTGGTTTTGGACGTGAGGAGCGCACTGGCAGACGGACTCTGCAAACAAATGACAATCTGCTAAGTAACAAGGAGGAGTCGACTAAGTTATTAATAATTTTGTATAGAAATACTATATCAAACATTTTGCGCCTATTGCAAAGAGAAAGTAAATTATACTTTTTTAATGAATCGGTGTATGACTGATTTAAAATATTTTGGCGATAATTTAGAGATTTAATAAACAATTTTTGAACTCTTTCTATTCTCCTAATATGAACTTCATAACAAGGGCTCCAAACAGTGCTGCAAAAATCAAGGAAAGATGTGACAAAAGAAAAGTATAAAATTTTTAGAGTTTCGGGACGTTTAGATGGTTTACTTATTCGTAGTATAAAACCTAGATTTCTAAAAGCCAAAGCTAATATGTGATCAATGTGTGGAATAAATGATAAGGTCGAATCCATAATTATGCCTAAGTCCTTGATTGTGGTTACTCTATTCAAGGCCTTCTGATTTATGTGGTAGTCGTAAGTAACTGGATTTTTTTTACGAGTATATGATATTGTGTAGCATTTATCGCTGTTTAGAAACAGATAGTTTGACTCACAGTATGCATGTAATAGGTGTAAGTCTTCTTGTAATTTGTGGAATATAACGAAGTTTTTTTATTATTATAATGCATTTTCCTTTTACGCTGCAGCGAATTAGGGCTACTATAAAGTTGCTTTATTGCGTATGGTGAGTGACGTGAACTAGAAGCCCTTTGTCCTAGGGTGGTGATTTGATGCAAAATCTAAGATAAATGTCTTCGAGCAATAGCATTCATTATCAATCATTCGTTTAAAGTTTTCTTAAACCATAGTTACACCCAGGACTATCAATAAGCTAAGTTATATAATAATAAAAACGTCCTCCAAACCGAATTTCGGTCACGGCGGCCAGTCTCCAGGGAGATTATCCATTTGCGGAGGACAGGATTATAGTACCTAAGTGTATGCGCATGCACAGTTTTTTTTTATAGAAGAGGGGGCAAACGAGCATGCGGCACACCTAATGGTGTATGACTACCGCCGCCCATGAACAACTGCAACACCAGGAGAATTGCAGAGGCGATGAACGGCCTTTTTAAAGGTGTAAGCTCTTTTCCTGAAGGTCCCTAAGTCGTATCGGTCTGGAAAAATCGCCGGTAGTAAGCTATTCCACAGAGAAGTTGTACAGTTGCACTCTCTATTCCCTTACTCTATTAGTCCGATGAGACGGTAAACCGACACGACCGGAGAGAGATCAGGCGCAGGACCAACGGCTTTACGAGCTTTCCGACTCCGGGCTGCTACTGTGATTTTTTGTCAAAAAAACCCAATAACTGATTTTGACTCCACCCGGGATTCGAATGTTTCATACTAGGAATGCTTTATGTTAATGGTACTTACCACAAACTTTGTTGTTTACGTAATATCTAAAGATTAAAGAGATATTCAAAAGCAAACTTTTCTCCATTGCATTGCAACATTAGTCAAAGCATTTTATAAGTCTTTCTTTATTAAAATGAAATAGAAAAATATATTATGCAATCATGATATCGCATATTTACACGAATACTACACATTGAATAAAATTAATTTTACGGAATTTCAAACTCCTCAGTCAGTTTCAAAACCTTGTGACAATGAGTTAAAAAGAATGAACGAATTTAAAACTTAAAATCAAACGCGATAAAAACAGTATTTTTCTGTGACTTTTAAAATATATTTTTATGCTACTCTGCTGTAATAAGTAAAGTAACCTTAACTCGACCAAACGCATTAAAATTAATTACTAGTATTGTCAATATAGCCGGATTTGCATGTAAATAATATTATACAGTTGGCCCTGAGAAAGGATAAAATCGTTGAACACCCGAACTATTGAAACTCACGCATGCTTGCAAATATACAGAATTTTACATGTCCGTTTATAATAAAATAATAACGAATAATTTTGTAACTGCATCCCACGGACATCTGCTGCCAACTTCAAACAAAAAAGATCGTTATATGTTTTTAATTCTTACCTTCCCTTTCCAACATGCCGTATCCAGCCCTTTGTTTTCAATATTCCATGAAGGAACTT